GTTGGTTGTATTAAATACAATCTCTGCCTCTGATTAGCTATGTAACATCATTTATCTCTTTAATTCTTTGTTTTCTCATTTGTAAATTGAGAACAATATTTAAGAGCTTAAAAAAATGTCTGTCAGCCTCCAACATCATCACTGTTATTTCTTCTTGTTAGTTGCTGTTGAGTTGACTGTGACTCATTGCGACCTCAGAGTAAAACTGCTACATACTGTTTTTATTACTATAATCTTAGCAGAAGCAAATTGACAGGCCTTTCTTTTGGTACTGATAAGTAAGTTTGAACTGCCAAGTCTTAGGTTAGTAGTCAATTGCAAATCACTTGTGCCCCCTAGGGACCATTTATTATTACTACTATTACTTCCTGCTTAAACTAAGCTTGATTCTCCCCTAAAGCATATGAATAAGCTATTTCCTTAAAAATCTTTGAATTTTTATACTTCTAGTCAAAATTATTTTGAGACACATATATAGCAATAAAAAGCAACTCTAAAAACTAAAATGTCATTCCTGAAGGCAATAAAAAAATTAAAAAAAAAAATCAGCATCTTTTCTACTAATCTAACATACACTGTATTTTGTGCTTAAAAAAAAACAATACAAAACAAAGCCCACTATATCAAGTTGATTCTGAATCACAGTGACCCTGTAGGACAGAGTACAACTGCTCCACAGGGTTTCCAAGTTTGTAAATCTTTATGGAAACAGACTGCCCCATCTTTCTCCCTTGGAGCGGCTTGTGAGTTTAACTGCCAATTTTTTGGTTGGCAGCTGAATGCTTTAACCACTGTGCCACCAGGGGTCCTTTATTTTGTGGTAGGTACTTAACATAACTTTAACTCACTGCCATCGAGTCAAATCAACTCATAGTGAGCCCTCCTTGGTTGATTGCCCAATCTTCCTTCTCAGGAGTGGCTGATAGGTTTGAACTGCCTGCCTTCTGGTTAGCAGTCAAATACCTTAGGCAGTATGCCACCAGAGCTCTCAGGTACTTAATATATTTTCCTTCAATTATATTTCCTTTTTCCTTCCTTATTTAATTTCCATCCTTGTATAAAGTACTTTTTATCATCCCCTAGAATATTATTGGACTTGCCTAAAATTGTACAGCTGATAAGTAATAGAATTGGAAATAAACCCAAATATGTCAACTCCAAAATTTTTACTCTGTCCATTATACTACAGTCTCCTCTCTACAATATTCTTTTATCATTCAAACCTCTTCTATTATACTTATTATACTGCATTACAACCATGTCTCTATAGCTATTTTCTCCACTACACTGTGAGATTCTTATGGGAAGGAGTTATATCTAATTCATTATAAAGCCCCAATGTCCAGAAAGATGGCAGGTGCTTGATGGATACTTTATATATGAATGAATGACTTACTTTAACATTACATATATAATTTGTAAGTCACAGAAAAACAAGACTATCTCATATGATTTTTCCTACTATTCCTACTGCTCAGACACCTTATGCCAGGATTGTGACAGGAAGCTAAGTGCACTTTATTTGCTTCCAGCCCACCGAGGATATGGTTTATATTTATTCTCTTTAAAGATTTTTTTTAACTTCCTACTGTTCATTATATTATTTCTTCAACTAAACTGTAAGCAAGCAAAGTGATATACCAGATCTTTACATTATTTTTTTGCCCAGAGAACCTAATACAATCTTATGCCTAGAATAGAAACTCTACATTTTCTTCATAAATAACAAAAGTGCAGAATTTTAGAACTAGGTAAGACCTTAAGGCTTGTTTTGATCCCAATGGTTCAAGTAATCTGTCTATATACACAAATGACAATGTTAAATCCTAGGTCACGCGACTCCTAGTTCAAGACTCTTTCCATTTCTGTGAAGGAATAAAAATGATCTCTATGGACAAAAAAAAAAAAATAAGCCCATTTCAAAGTAATTTCTTTTTTCCTTAATACAAAATGTCAGAAGAGATACAACACTGCCTGAAAGCCACTCTCTAGTGGCCTGCAGAAAGAAGATGATAGACTTACCCTGACAATGAAGAGCTCAGCACCGAGTTGTGCAGTTTGCTCGGTAGAAAGCTGTAAGTAAGGAAAAGACAAGGTAAATGTCCAAGAACTCATTCACTGTAACAGACTCCAAGGTCAGACTAAAATCTCCGAGCATCCTGAAATCTTACCATATTGAACAAAGCCTGAATAAGCAGATAGATGGGAGCTCTGATGGCATAGTGCCTGAGACACTGACTGCTAACCAGAAGGCTGGTGGTTCAAGTCTTCCAGCCACTCCTCGGAAGGAAGGTTGGGCAACCTACTTCCATAGAGATACCGCCTCAGAAACCCAAGGAGGGGTCGCTATGAGTTGGATCCAACTCCACAGCAGTGAGCTTGGTTTTTGGAACAGATTAACAAAAGAGGCTTACTAGTCTTGCTGATACAGAGATTTTGAGGGAAATGTAAATATAATGTGAAACAGCTGCCTATAAAAAACTATCCAGCAAGAGTTCAAGTACCTTGGCAGCCAGGATGGAAATGATAGCAACTGCCATCCTCTGCATGTTTTGATCCTCATGGTTGCAAAGCCACTGCATGACAAGCTTGGCTGCTTCAAACCTGAAAACAAAGGGTTTCACTAATTAATTCTGAAAGTCTGAGTGCAGTTTCAGAGCTCCAGCTGGGAACTGAGGCTACAATTTAGGAAGAAAGGTGAGCAGAAAATGGAAAATCCCTCTGAACTGTGAAAAAGTAACAATTACACAGTATTTTGGAGAGTACCTTATTATTAAGTTTGACAACATTTTGTAAAGAAGCAAGAGTTTAGAAAACATGTTAAAAACTACTTGGCATTTCATATACCAGAATTATAACATTTTTTTTATACTGTAGTAATAGTATAGGAGCTCTGGTGGCGTAGTGCCTAAGGCATTTGACTGCTAACCAGAAGGCTGGCGGTTCAAACCCACCAGCCACTCCTCAGAAGGAAGGTTGGGCAATCTACTTCAGTAGTGATACTGCCTCGGAAACCCAAGGAAGGGTCACTATGAGTCGTATCTGACTTGATGGCATTGAGTTTGGTTTTTTTTTAAACTTGCCATGGAGAGAGAAAAAAGCAGGGAAAGGGATTATGAAATAGTGAAATTTTATATAGGGTGGTTAGGGAAGGCCTCATCAAAGCTTTCAAGGAAGTAAGAGAACCGATCATGTGGATATCTAGGGGAAAACATTCCAAGCAGAGGGAATGGGAAGTATAAACTCTGAAGTGGAAGTGTGCCTATAGGGTTGCTATGACTTAAAATCAACTTGATGGCAGTGAGTTTGGTTTTGGTTGGTACTCATAGCATTCTAAGACTCTAGGAAGAAAATATACTTTCAAATCTTTTTTTCCTGCCTACCTATGCTTTCTACAAAGGCAGACTACTTGTTAGTTCCCAAACATGCCCACAATTATGAAGTAGTGTATAGCCTAGTAGTTAAGAGTGCAGTTGCTGAAGTCAGTCCTGGATTTGAATTCTAGTTCTACTGAATATTAATGATAATAATAAAATAAATTATTATTGACTGTGCATATATTCATGAAGTTTCCATAGCCTTAAACAATCAACCCAACCAGCTCCCATCTTCAAAGCAATATAGCAGTAGCAGTACGTAAAAAGTATAGTATCTAAACTTAAATCTGGACACTGCTGTTTACTATCCTAACACCTTGAACAAATTACTAAACCTCTTTGTGCCTCCATTTCTGCGCCTGTAAAATGAAGATTAAGAGTAACAATTTCACAGGGTTGTTGCAACACTGAGTAAATATATGTAAAACATTTAGCATAGTGCCTGACAACAGTAAGTGATTCATACATTTTTATTATCTCAAGTGTCATTGCTAACATAAAGTCTTTAATAATCACCAATCAGATAGAATTTTTCACTCCTTGCATGGGGACCAAATGTATTCTGTCAACACTTCTATGGCCAATTTTTTTTAATATTGTACTCATTTAACCATTCAGCCATCCATTCATTCATCCATTCATTAAACCTTCACTTAAGCACCAGAGACAGACATAAAAAATTATAACCTGACTACAAAGAAGTTCACAGTCTAGCAGCATGCATTGGCTAGACCAGAGATAGGTATAATACCACTTACTGGCTGGTTTGTTTCACAAAGTTTTATTAGGACATAGCCACATCCAGTTTTATTTTAAAACATATTGTCTAGGGCTATTTTCTAGGCATAATGGCAGAGTTAAGCAGTTTCAACAGAAACTTTATAGATTTTAAATATTTACTATCTGGCCCTTTAAGAAAATGTCTGCCAAACGCTGGCTAGATTAGCATCTTCTTTAGGAGAGGGACTACTTACTATCTGCTCACTTCTGACTTCTTTGTAATGATCAGCAGAGAGGTTCAATATTTATTCAATTATATCCTCTACTCTTTTCAGAGTTAAAAAACTATTTCATGTAGCTTTATAATTTGATATGATTTAGCATATTCAGATTCATCAAAAACTTAGCAATGTGCAGTTATATTTTTATCCAAGCTATCTATGTCAAAGATTAAATGGAATGCTTCATTCCTCAGCCATGACAGATAACAATGTATTTCGTTACCCAAATCAAAGTAAATCACAGTAATTTGAGAAACATACTTTTCATTAAATCATGAAGTATAAACTTCCTTTTCAAAATACTATAATTAGAAAACTCAATTTTGAAATAGTAACATAAAAAACATCACTTTTTGAAGAACTAAATGGTGCCCAGCTACCACTATTGACTGTTCTGACCAGGGGCACAACAGATGGTCCCACACAGAATGAAAGAAAATTGTGGAACAAAACTCAAATTCTTAAAGGCCTGAGTTATTGAACTAGTAGAGGCTACAGGAACCCCCTAGAATGCTGGCCTAAGGTATTCTTTAAACTTTGAGATGCATCCACTCCCAGAGGCCACCTTTCAGCTTAAAAAACAGACTGGCTTATAAAATAAACACTAGCATCTGTGACTACTGTGCTCTTTTTTTTCTTTAAAAATAATAAAAAAAAAAAATGTCTATTACGGTGTAGTAAATTATCTGGTATGGCTTTTCTAGCCTAAGTCTTTATAAACTCCATGGGGAATTGGCCATCAGCAACTGAGGAGCTCCTGATTGTTAAAGTTACCCACCTGGGGGATTTCTGTTGAGAGTGGCACAAAGCAATGTTCTGGCAAATTTGCTTAGAATTCTGATGTTATGGTTGTTAGTTTGGCCACTTTGCCAAAAGGGGCCCTCCTAGAGGCAGAAGGAGTCTCTCTGACTGCTGGCTGAGAAAGATGTGCTGCTGAGAGAAACACACTCCTGAGACACATGTGCTGCTGAGAGAGAGACACCAAGAGACATGCACTGCTGGGAGAGAGACTGAGAGAGACTAGTGGCTGAGAGATGGTGGGCTGAGAGAGACTGAGCGTTTTTCCTGAACTTGAATTGTAGCCTGGTGCTTCCCGAATAAACCCCATAATCTGTGAGTTCTGTGTGGCCACTGCAGTGAATTATTGAACCCAGCAGAAAGGTAGTGGGTGCTACAGGAGGAAAGGTTGGTGTCAGGGTTGATGAAAGGGCTGGAGGGAGGCAGCATGTTCGGCCTCATAGGAATAGGCCTTGGGCTGCTGATGGTGATTCTGTCTTCCCATTATGGGGTTAGAGAAGGTCAGAAGATGTGGCCTCCTTGCCCCTTTGGCATCTGTGTAAGACCAGATGGTCAACATTTATTCTAAAGCAAAAGATGAAAAGGTCAGGGGGGTGGGGAAGCTAGATTAATAGATATGGAACAACTAGAACAGAAATAATGAGAATGTTAACACAATGTAGAAAAAATGTAACCAATGTCACTGAACAACATGTATATAAATTGCTCATGGGAACCACGGAATATTTTTTAAAAGAAACAAACAAAAAAAATCACCTTTTTAGCTTCCAAATCAGAACATCTTAGAAAACAAGACCCCTTTATACTTAATGGAATCCAGTTTTATGGCCTCTCTTAACCTCTGCTTTTAAAGTTTCCACCATAATTCAATACCAAATAAGAATATACCCACTCCTCACTTATCAACATGGATAGGTTCCAAAGACCAAGTCATTATGTAAAAATCATCCAAATTATGCAACTTCAGCAACCAACTGCTTCAGGAGTCATTTCGGAGGGACCCATGGGCTGCTCCCTCCCTAGCTGCCATCTGCATGCAGCCTGCTTCTCTCAGTACAGTGATTTCTGTACTTTGGATGGATAAATCAGCTTGTGCCACTTCAAATCAAAGGCAGAGCTGACTAGATCAGGATTTGCAGCCAAGAGGTAGGACTTGCCCTATCCTGACTCACCTGGAGTTCTTGCTCTCCACTGAAACACCCCTTGGCCCAGTCCCCAAATGGCAGATCTCAGGGTCTGAGGGTAAAGTGACATCTTAGTGCCCTGTCTACACCCCTCTGCTGTCTTCTCACATACTTCTAGCTTAAAGCCGCAGCTCTGCTCTGAAGGAAGGGTAGCTACCAGCCTGTAGGCCCAGCCAGGTTCAGCCTCTGAGCATTTGTGCAGGTTAGTGGCTCATAGCCCCCAGAGTCTGACCTTTTTTTCTCTTGCCTTTTAATATTACTCACACCCAAGACTGGGGAGAAGGCTGGGATGAGAAGGATCAAGGACTCGGGGTTCAGGAGGAAGTACTCTCATTCAAAACACATAGGTCCCTTAACTTGGTTTTAAGGTAATTTAAGTAAATTTTTTGCTATTGCTGTAAATGTGAAATGTCAGATAAAGAGATGCTGTTAAGTGAGGATTAGGTGTAATAACAAGAGCTATGAGACAGAGAAAAGAACAATGAACTTAGAACTAGAAGACTTGAGTTCTTCTAGCCTTGCGTTACTAGTTACATAACCAAAGGAAGACACTGAATATATACCTCAGTATCCCAATCTTTCAAATGGGGATAATAATATCCATAGGCCATAGTGTTATGTGAATATTCTGAAAACTATAACCAATATAAATTCTTAAGCAAAGGACTATGAGAACAGGGGCCAATCTGCTATCATGAATGTCAAAGCACTAAATCAGAGATATAGATTTAGCAATCAGTAAAGCAATGCACAGTCCCATCTATTTACTTAATCTTATACCAAGGATATCCTAACCAGTAAAAAGTCAATCAACAAAGATTTTTAAAACTCAGTTTTGCCCCATTTTAAATTCTACAGCTATCACTTGCCTGTTAAATGGGACATCTTGAAGGATGCGGTCACTGCAAAGTGAAAGGAGACAATTCTTCTGTAACTGAAAAATCAAAGGGAGGAAAAAAACAAAAAGAACAAGTATCACTTTTTTGTTATTTTTTTAAACAGAGGTAGCCTTTGGAAAGAAAGAAAGAAAAAAAGAATAAGTAGTAGAAGACTGATAAAGCACCAGTAACTCCTTTCTGTTCAACTACTGTTGAAAGATTGACTTACACTGGACTCACATATTTTCTCCTGTCTTTTCTATTAAAAACAAAATCAAATTTATTGCTGTCAATTCCAACTCACAGTGACCCCTCCTTGGGTTTCTGAGGCAATATCTCTATGGAAGTAGATTCCCCAGCCTTCCTTCCGAGGAGTGGCTGGTGGGCTTGAACTGCCAGCCTTCTGGTTAGCAGTCAAATGCCTTAGGCACTGTGCCATAGGTAAAGAAATTTCATTGGCTAGGAAATCCCTGCAATTTCCCTTCCTTTTGGTGGCCAATGAGGAGGTAACCTTGTCTTTTGTGTGTTTTTGAGATGAGAATGGCAAAAGCAATGGTTGAAAATTATGCCTGGTGGCATACAGTAACATCAAAAAACTTAAGCCAGCCTGCTTTAAAGACAGCTTTACTCTAACCTACAGTACGTGGGACTAGGGTTCTACACACATTGGCCTCTAAATCAAGAGTGACTGAAACTTGGCTCTATCTTTTTTTTTTTTTTTAAATGTGATTTGGGTGAAAGTTTACAGAGCAAATACACTTTCCACACAGCAGTTCACACACACATTGTCTCATGACATTGACTACAATTTACCACAATGCAACAGCTCCCGTTCCACTTCCTCCCAATAGTTACCTCTTCCCTGTGTCCATCCCTCCATGCACTCCTGCCCCCTGAACTGTCTCCCTGTGCATAAACAGCCCTTCTTTCTCCCATGATTGTTCTCTACAAGGAGTTTATCTACCTCAGGTACATGTTCAACTCATGCCTGTCTTTTGTTTGGCAGGAAGCCACAGGTGTGGGTTTAATTCTAGACCCAAAGAGCAGCTAAGGACCATAGTCTCAGTGGTTCCACCAGGCTCTATCAGACCTGCAAACCTAGTCCCCCCCCCTTTTTTTTTCCCAAATGATTCTGAATTTTGTTCCACATTGTTCTCCCTCTCTATCCAGGATCTCCTACATAGATCCCCCTCTGAGCGGTTGACAGTGGTAGCCAGGCACCATCTAGTTCTTCTGGTCTCATAGTCGTATAGCCTGCAGATCGCATGGTATACCAGTCGCGAGGCCTAATTGTTTCCATAAATCTTTGGTTTCTTCATTCTTCTTTGCTCTGGATGAGGAGAGACCCATCATTGCATCCAGATGGCTGCTTGCAAGCTTTTAAGATCCCAGTCACTACTCATCAAAGTAGGAGGTAGAACAATGTTTTGTGCAGTATGTTTTGCCAATTGAGCTTGATGTGCCCTGCAACTATGGTCCCAATTGGCTCTATCTTTTAAATAAATTTCAAATCAGTACAATTAAACATGAATAAATGAGTCATCAACAGAGTGAAGACATGCCATCTTAACAGACCAGTTAGAGACACTGGTGCCAGGAAACAAAGTAAGAACTTTTAAGGTGTGGGTAAAAAAAAAAGTCATATAGTATAGTACTAATTTTTTTGAGTTTGGAAAAATGGCCTTTTAATTTAGGAGCTCTGGTGGTGCAGTGCCTAAGGCATTTGACTGCTAACCAGAAGACTGGCGGTTCAAACCCACCAGCCACTCCTCGAAAGGAAGATGGGGCAATCTACTTCCGTAGTGATACTGCCTTGGAAACCCAAGGAGGGGTCGCTATGAGTTGGGTCTGACTTGACGGCACATAACAACAACAAACAACAGTATTTTATAAAACTTCCTGCGTATAGCTGGAAGATTTCCTGTCTAAAGAAGAAAACACATTATAATAAGAGTTCAATCACAGACAAAGCGCAAAACTCAGATTAACGGGATATATATTCTCAAGGAGTAAAAAATAGGTATAAAACCAATAACCTATTTCTTTCATTAGAGACATACAGAGATTATATAATATAAAGAATGGTACAGAAAAGACAAAGTAGTATTAAATCCCAGATGGTTGATAATGAATAAGAATTACTTAATTAAGAAGGCTTCTCAGTAAATTTTATATTCAGCAGAGGTGATCAAGGAGATGGGTTGGACTTGCTTGGGATCCAGCTACCTTCCTAGAAATCTAAATAGTCATCTGCAAAATGTAGGGAAGCACCTTTCTCCCTACTTCTCTCCCCCAAAACAGATACATTAATTTATGCAAAATCTAGGGAAATAAGAGAGAGAATAACTCTACTTCTATTACCTCTGAATGGAAAGCCCATTTCCCCTTCTCTTTTCCTGGAAAAACCCTAATTTTATTTCACAGCTTAGCTCATGGCAGATATTACTTCTTTGAGGAAGCTTCCTAACTTTCTAAATACCCTTTCTGTGTTCCCAATAGTCCTTACTTCTATCTTAATACTTTCCATACTAAACCAGAAAACCAAACTCACTGCCGTTGAGTCAGGTCTGACTCATAGCAACCCCTCCTTGGGGGGTGGTGCTCTACAGAAGTAGATTGCCTAACCTTCCTTCCAGGGAGTGATGGGTGGGTTTTAACCACCAGCCTTTTGGTTAGCAGTCAAATGCCTTAGGCACTACACCACCAGAGTTCCCTCTTTGCATACTAGACTTCATTATGTACTCCTGTGTCTGAATTCATAGAACTTAGCATAGGGGTACATAGCTTGAATTCACTAAGGAGATGATAAGTTTAACTGGCTAAAATAGTGAAATAAATTTCACTGGGTCTATGATTTATCACAGGAGCTCTGGTGGCTTAGTGCCTAAGGCATGTGACTGCTAACCAGAAGGCTGGTGGTTCAAACCC